CATTTGCCAGTATCACTGACTTGTTTGAACTAATCCTGGAGATTTCAGTGACAACTAACATCTATTCCACTCTCGGAGGTCTCTTGTGTTGACAGGCTTATATTTTAAACACGTCACACTGCATTGAAGGACCTTGATGATTGGAGAATAAGTAGGTGTTGCAGCACTACCTGAGACAAAAGACCACACATGTCGTGTCAGGCAGCATACAAGGACAGCATACAGCAGGGATAAGGTAACGGAGACTCATGTTCAGTACCTTTGCTCTCTCCGTCACTCGGTACTGATACCTAATCTAGGGCTTGATTATATAATGATATTCTACACCAGCATGAGATCCAAAGGGAACGCTGTAGCCATACGCCTGCACTTTGCCCAACATAAAACCCTGTGACTGAAACAATGTAAGAAAGCTAGATGCAAAGAACCAATTGACGACTTTGAATTGTATTTGTGTAATGATTAGCTAGCACTCACTGTACGTGTAGCATATACAAAACTACTAGTAAATGTTAGTATTATTAAAAGCTATTTGTTTAGTTTGAGTAGGATTCATAGTCTCTAAAAGCCTTCTTTAGGTTTGAATGAATTCCCAGTCAACTATAGTGTTTTGAGTGAGTGATGATGCACTTATGTAGTATGTTTGCAAGCTAACCTCATGCTGCCTCACTAAATCCATAACAGGAACTAGACAATGTATTTTCAAGAAGCACATACATTTAGGCGGTTAACAAGAGGCATTCATATTTTGTTAATATTAAGGAAATAGTGAAATATTTTGTCTTTCCCAATTTGTTATTCCATCCTGTAACAGGGCATGTATACCATGTGTTTGTTGATTTTTGCCGCCTGTTTATGGTTTTCATGTTAGTATACAGTACACACAAGTTAACAATCACTCACATTAGGTCATGTTTGGTAACTTAAGGTCAGACGTAGTATGAATAATTCCGCCTATGTTTGCATTTTTCAACCATATCCATACACTGAACAAGCCATTGCAGTTCACAAAAAGAAAGGTTGGGTGCTGATGAAAAGCCTAATAGTTGATTAACATTTTCTAGCCATAAAAAGCAACTTAGTGCTGGAAATGTTCCATTTTAGTTTCTCAGGGAGTAAAGAAGAACGTATTAACAAGCAAACAACATAATAATAAATGTTTGGAGAAATAAATGTATTTTCTGCTCTGAGAACAACATTTTAATGTATGATAGAAACAGATGTTTATGAGAAGTAATCAATGCATTCACAGTGTGATCCTTAAACTCTGTGAGATCAAAAATAATCCATTAATGCTTTGTGAGTTCTGTGAGATTTACTCCTTTTGCGATAAAAGTACTGTAACAGATGGTACTTTATTTAACTGTCTGTGTAGCTGTAACACTTCCATGTGCAATAATACAATGCTGTATACTTGATACGGAATAAATAACTTTTAGGTTAATCATGAAGAACTGGACATTTCAGGGATGTGAATTGACAACAGATCACCAAACTAGAGTTTTTTAATTAAACTTTAAAATGGCATTATGGCTTCACAACAACCAAATAAAAGTGTGTTGTTAGTACTCTGCTAAGCTAAAACTTGTTTCCTTAATTTTTGGTTTGCTGTACCTTGTGTGTGTTTCTAATTAAAAAAATGAATGTATGTGTGTAATGCATCAGTGTAACAGGAATATAAAGCCATTATCTGATGAATCTGTTTCAGTTGTGTGTTTGACAGCCGCACGTTTTATACTAGTTTCCTCTTTTGGGTCAGTAAAACATCATGATATAATCAGCTGCTTTTGTATTATAATGACGAAACAATCTCACTTCAATGTTCATTTGGTAATTATCCTGGAGCTCTTGATCAGTTTAGATTGTTTGAGTAAGATGGATTGAAGTTACTTTATTAAAATAAATGTATAGTATATAAATTAATGAAAACTGTCAATATATAGTATTTTTATGATGTTTAAGAAATACTCAAGAAAATAGCAAAATAATCCCCCAAAACCTGTAGCTATTTTTCTCAGTTATAAACATGTTCTGCTTTTCTCTGTTTGTCATCATATGCTTAATTTATTTGGGTGTTGGACCGTTGATGGGAAAAAGTCATTAGAAACAATCTTTTTTAAATAGCCTTCATGATTAATCAGAGTTATTTCTTATCGAGCAAATCATGTGAAATCTTCAAAAGATCCGATATAGTTAGTTGTTTTGTCAGCATTTGTTTCAAAGAGCACTAAAGTTTACAACTCAACATAGCATTGTGTTGTTAGAGAGCCAGTGGCGTAAGAAGGTTGCGATTGGCCCCGGTGCAAATATTGTTTTGGGGGCCCCCCCACATCGCCCCTTACATAAGCGCACGCTGATGCGCTCACACACGCACAGACACACACAACCACTCATAAGCGCCACATGTAGGCTATCAACAACAGCCTGCCCTGGCCTCAGACCACCACAGCCTGACAACGACACAGCGAACTAATCACACAATCACTTTACAGAATGAATCGAGATTTGGAGGACGATGTATGACAAAAAAATCTATCTAATTACATTACATCTCCTTGTTCTCTCTTGTCCTTTCTCTTTTGAGTGCTGCTCTTGTACTTTGGTTTGCTGTACATTATAAATGCAAGCTATTACATTTTTTATAAGGCTGCCAAACTTGCTGCTGCTAGCTACAGTACCTATAACTTTTTAGGTTGATTAAACGGTTCGCTCGTCAGGCAAGGTATCACATGACATGAAAGGGAGCAAGGTCATTGGACAGACAAATTACAAATTAATTTAGGTTGCTTGGTTACTTTGAAGACTGCATGAACCGGTCAATGCCATGGGGCCCCCCCCAAAAAAAAGGTATATTAAAAAAAAAAAAAAATCTTTTTTTCTTTCTTTTGTGCATGGGCCCCTGGCCGGCTCTGGGCCCTGATGCGTTGCACCGGCTCCACCGTCAATAGTTACGCCACTGTAGAGAGCCCATTATATTCTGAGATAAATTCCTAACCAGTTTGGGCTGATAATATTACTAGAGAACAAACAGACATTTGCTGATGGTTTTATGCTAATGTTTTGGGAGAGACAATGTCAAGCCGTTGCCGAAGAAGTGATAAGAGGATGGGGGAGTGATTTAGAGAGAAGGGACAAGGAGAGGAAGCCTCACGTGACGTAATCTGCCCTCTCCAAGTATTTGACAGGTTGATTTAGCAGCAGAGGCAGAAGGGAGGACAGAAGAGACTCCGAGTGAGAGGAGTCATCCAATCCGCTTTCTCAACTTGCAACACTTCAGACAGCCAAAGGACAAAGTGAAGACAGAAGGGCAGGATTAGAGGAGAGTGCAGACAGAAGAGTGGAGGGGGTGGTGTCACTGAAAGAGAGTCAGCAGTGTGGAAGAGGAGAGGAAAGACAGACTGAAACACTGAGCTGTGGTGATAAGAGAAGACATTAGAAATGAGATGAGTAAACACGTGCCACCAGCATTGCCAGGACATAGTGACCTTCATGGGACATTAAAGGGGAACTATTTAGTTTTTAAACATCATAGTCTGTTTCCAGATTACTACTGCATAGAAAAAACAACGCCTTTGTTGATTCTAAAGGCCGCAACCCCAAATCAGAAAAATAGCCTAAAGTGACGTCACTCGAGTTGATTGTGGCTGAAGACTAAAAGTTTGAAACAAAACAAATCTGTGAGGGTTGAACTAAAACAATGTTACGCTCCTTATCTTTGCTAGATGCCTGTACCGCTATTAGCATAATAAATCTGACAGAACTGTTGAGTTGGATTGTGGGTAATGTAGGCTCCAGGTTAGACAGAAAAGTTTATGAATAGAGCATATGGGTGTAAGATAGAGCAAAAAACAATAATTTTACCAACTGTTTTTTATAAAAAAACGAGAGCAAGTTGAGGGATAAAACTGATAGGTAACAGTTTATTTTACAAATGACAATAAGCCTTTAATTTATCGTATTGATGCTTTAACATGTTTTTTTTTAAATAACAAAGATCTGAGATTCAAAATTAAAACAATTCAGCGCTGCAATTTAATCCAATCAAGAACACAACAGGTAAATGTAAAACGTATAGCTTCTCAGGCTTCTTAAAAACTCTTGAAGTGAACTGCCCCTACTTAACCTTTGAAGGGGCCAAAGATTGCCAAACACTGGTTTCAGTAAGTGCAGAAAATAAAAAATGTTAACCAGAAGATGGCGCCAAGTGAACATTTCTCTATCAAAGCTGCTGCTGGGCTGTGCAGTAACAGAGATATATCAGTTCATACAACACACCAAGCTCACAGTAACATTGAGTTGTGTTGCTATCGGTTAATGAGAAAACAATTTGACAACAACAGGCTTCCTTCAGTCTGGAGGTCATGGTGACGGAGTTGACACGAGGTGTTTGTGTGAGTTTGACGTGCTGCTGGAGTCAGCCAAGTAATCTGCTGATTCAGCTATCTTACTTGTAAAGAATTCAGTCTTTTTTTGTCCCTGAACTTATCCCCAATGTAAGCCGTTACCCCAGTCTTCCTCTAGTTTGACTTCTGTCAGATCAGATGAAGACATGCCATGTGTCATCTTTCCATCTAATCTCACATTGTTCTCTCTCTCCACATCTGATTCCTTCTTACTGATTTAATCTGTCACTCTCTCCCTCGGGTGAATCCATGTCATTGTTGTTGTCTCCCATCATATTTTCTGTTGTCAGTCCAGGGCTTCAAATGATAACGTCACCAGCAAAAAGCTGACTGTACAATGCACTTGTAGCCCACACTGAACTTCGCTTTCTTTGTATTGACTTCTTCTTCCAATATGATTTAGCCATCTGTTAGCGCTGGGCTTTTGCAACTCTCAGCTCAATAGATCCTCAAAGAATTGATCTTTCAATTTGGGTCATATACACGCTGACATTGTTAGGGAAAGAGTATATGCTGTGTCTATTATGACTTAATAGGCTAAAGATAAATTGCTGCCCAACCCAATTTCAAATGACCTCCAGAGGAAAGTGAATGCATAGGAAACCCAATTAACATCAATCTGCTGAGAATGATGACAAATCGTATTTGAGGATCTTGAACTCGTCAATGACTCTTGTTGTACCTCACCGTCAATATCCACAAACCAGCCTTCCCCCCACCAATAACCAGTCTATGCCAATAACAGAAGACCCTTGTCTGTTAAAATGCTTTTAAATTGACAGAGCTGTCCGATGATTGCTTTTATTGATACTCTCATAGATTTTTCTCCATTCAATTACTCCTTCTGAGGTGAAAGATAACTCCATTAAGGGACTTGGGCCTTGTAAGAGGTCACTTTAAATTAGGATGTGGAGTTTATGCCAAAACGCTATCAGACTGATTAGGGTTGTTTTACTTCCCTGTGTGTGATTCTTCCGCAGATAGTTTAAGAATACAATGCCAGCCAAAAGTTAAGCTAATATCTTTGAGCCCATCCATGACAGAAAAAAGCTGGTTGGCTACATAAGGAGATAGAAGGAATAAGTAAGTGTGGGTGAGCTGACGTTTCTCATCCTCCTTGAGATGGAGGGTGGAGATAAAACTAAGATTCTTTCACTTGTAGGTCATCAGCCACAAAAGGAACAATGCTTGTCCTTGTCTGCATGTCCTTTGAGCAGGTTAAATATCATAAAATAAACCTCCCTGCATTGGGAAGAGCTTTTTTGTATCCGTGAGTTATCTGCTGCTGCAGCGATCGAGGGGAACGGAACAAAGGCCATGCTTTGATGGATATAATCATTTATCTTGTGGGACAATGCCGAGGAAACAAATAATTTGGGCAAAAGTATTCCATGTTGTTATTAAAGGTGTACTAAATGTAGTTTCCCACCAACATAAAGTTAAGGTACTTCTGTGAGACAGAAGTAGAATCTGAATTAGCATAAGTCAAGACTTCCTGACTTTGACCTTTTTTTCCATTTCCTGTGTCACATAGTCACAGCTGTGAAGGGGGTTCCCACAGTCACAAACATTTTTCCACATTTACGAGGGGGTTTTATAGCATGACAAACCATTTAATCCACCACAGAGATTACATTAAAAAGATTATCATAACAGATAATATAACATTAACGATACATTTATATTTTCCCTGAACTGATATTCATTTATACTTCAGACCTTCTCTTTTGCTGACACCCATAAGGTCAGTAGTATGGTTAAAAATATATACCATGATTCCCACAATGCAACTGTATAGCATCATTTTAATACTGTAAAGTCCCCATATTTTTAAACATTTTCATATCATCTGGGTTACTTGTTGGGCTCCAGTCCCAGCCGATCTACAGATGACATTATACAGCTGTGAGTGGTGTTGTCCGTGGTGAGTAAACTGACCATTATGTGTGAAATTCATGGAGAGCCACTTAAAGCTTGTTGAGGAATTGATAGCAGAAGGGATGAAAGCTAATGATTTCTATCCAAAGCCTGATGGAAGAAGATGAAACAAATTGTCTGTGTCTGTTCAGAATCAGGCTGCGTCTGAGGACAACAATGTGGTAAATATATGTGTTGTCTAAAATCTCTGGTCTGTGCCCTTTTCATAAAGCACTGAGTCCCTCTAAGGTCTGTGAAGCCATACCTAGAAGGAACTGGAGGAAACCAGATGCCCTGCAATTAAACTTTTACAAATAAATATGATTGTTATCATTATGTTTTACAACATATTTCACCTCTTTGCTTCATGGTGAGTGGACGACAAAGTCCTAATTTGTCACAATAATCTTCCACTTGTCAATGATGACAAATAGATGAAGATGATGAAGGCAAAAGGTCATAACCTCCGGAAATATGTGGCTAAAGAATAATAGACTGTGCAAGTTTTTACATAGTGGGAGAACTGGTATTTATTTCCTGCACAATGGAGACTTCTTCAGCATTCAACTGCAGGTGTAAAATGTGAGGCATATTCAATCCAGTAAGGAACTAGTGCCATTGAAATTAGGTTGAAGTTTGCATGTTTCATCCATGGCAGTTCTTAAAAAACATTATACATTTGAATTCCCTTTGTGTCATTGCAGTAATGTGGCCAGAAATGTATGCATTTGCAAATGGAGAATGTAGTTTATCGCAACAAAATTCCATAATGAAAAATGCCTTGTGATTCTCTCTCTCTCTCTCTCTCTCTCTCTCTCTCTCTCACACACACACACACACACACACACACACACACACACACACACACACACACACACACACACACACACACACACACACACACACACACACACACACACACACACACACACACACACACACACACACACACACACACACACATCCCCTCCTTGACTTGCTCCAGCCCATTTGTCTTCCTCTTTTCTCACACAATCAAGCTTCCTCCCAGCCCAGTGAAGCCTCCGTCTTGTAAAGTCAATTTAATACTTGAATTAGTAAAAACTTCACTCTCTCAAAACTTTCAGTACATTTTCACGACAACACGTCTATGTCGTAGTTTTTGCTGAAATTCGGCTATGAAGATTTTATTTCCCCTGCACAGAAGTACCGTTTCTTTCCGGTTGATTTGTGAAGTGGGAGCAGCTCTCTGACGGAGGGCAGCGGCGCCAAATGTGCGTGTGACAAGGTGAGGATGCTGGGTGGATTCACACACACCAGGTAGGACACTATGTCGGTCTCCTGTTACCTCTAAAAGTGTGTTTGAGGAGAACTTACTAGAACGACGATAGGACAAAGGTAAGGCACTAGAAATGCGATGAGATTTGCCAGGTCAGGATTCATTTTTTGAATAAAAACAACCATGCTATGTTAGCTGATTTAGCTAGTTAATTAACGTTATGTTAACTGTTAACGTCATAATGTTTACTAGCAGGTTCGACAACGTAAGATTAACTTTGTCTATTGTGTTTTACAAGCTATTTAAGTTACTGTTACATGACCAACGTACCTGATAATCATCTATAGTCACTGATAAGCAAATACAACCTATTTTAGTTATTAAAGTCATAACAAAAAAACGACCCTCTGCAAATGTTTCCAGGGTCGTTCGTTACCGTTAGCCTAACGTTGCTTGCTTTAAAAATACGTCATGGGACCTCCAGTTGTGAATTTGATTTGGTGTAAGGAGTGCAGACAACTTTTAATTTCAATGACTATACATTTAAATGCTATTTATGTTATTAACCTAGTTGTTAAGACAATTATATGTCGTAAGAAAAGTTAAAAAAAACACCATCACAATGTCCTGTAATCTCTATTGAAAAATCTGTGCAATCTTCACAGATTATTAACTTTTCATCAATGTATTAAAAAGCACAAAGTAAGTCATCAGAAGAACATTAAAAAAAAAACATCAAATGCATTTTAGATTTTCAAAGCTTTTCCAACAGAGATATTGAAATACATTAACTATTGCATATTGCCATGTCAACTAACAAAACTACTTTCATAAATAACACCTGTGTATTTGTTACGTCTTTTTACTTTGCAGGTACATGGGGTTTGACATATCTCTGAATTCTGGCTTGAGAGGACAGGAAGGATAAAACAAAAATAGGTACCATGATTTATGGCCGTATGCAAAAATATTAAGAAGGATGAATACATTTCATTACACCCTGTGCTTTAATCACATTAACATTTAAAGCATATTTAGTTTTTGTATTAGTTTGAGTAGTTAAGAAGTAGAGAAGTAGCAGTACTAGTGCTGGTTGTTGTAAAATAAGGGATAGTAGTACATGATTTGGTTAAGATAAACACTAAAAACCTCTGGTTGTCTATGATATTTCAAATCAAAGATATCTAAAAACTAAAGGCTTATTTTTAAGAGGAATCCCCAAATACATAGAACATAATGTGTTTAGTTCCATAGCAAAAGGTGGTGAATTCAAAGTGTGCTTCTCTCTGAAAATAGTATTTTCATTCATGACCTGAGCACAGAGCAAAATAACCAAATATGCCTTTGTACAAGGCAATAGTTCCCCTGTTCTTGTTGTAATACTGGTTCCTTTTAACTTGATCATAGATCTATGGAAGCTAGCGTGGTTTGCATCGACTCTTTCTCCATCACAAATTAGCTGGTTACGCCAGAGGCTTGTGTCTTGATCAAGTTCTGTTGTGAATACATACACGACTTCCTTGTGTGGTTTGACATGTGGTTTGATGGCTCAGAGTCACATCCAACCCTGTGGCATCCATTACAGTGATTGGAGATGAGTTTGGTGATTACACTTGAAGTCATCCACATAGCATTTCCTCGGGAGTCGGGACAGAAAGTTAGTTTATATGAGTAATTTCCTTCTTGTTATTGTAATTGCTCTCAGTTCTGCGAGTTATAACCACAAGATTTAATTGAGTCCCATTGTCTTTATCTGCACTAAATGTCCAACGGGGGAGTTGTAGCAAACTTATGATTAGCCACGCTTTGATTTATGGACAGGAAGTCCTGTCTCGGGGCATCTTTAACCCTAACCCTAGACATTGTGTATGATGCATGCTTTTCCCATCAGTTTTCTAGTGTTTGGTATGTCGCTAATGAACAAAACAAATACCCCAAAAACATACTGTACCTTTAAAAAACAAATGCATTGTCAGCAAGCTACAACATTTTTACAGTCGCCTTTCAAGTTAATATCGGCTGAGTGTTTCTCACTCAAAAGATAGATTTTGGGTAGAGCATCACTTTAACTGCGCTGAAGGAAACCACAAACCTTCACATTCACAGCTTGAAGCCTTCTTAGATAGGCATGTACAAGGCTGGCTGCTCTTTAAAGTAAAACTCCACAAATAGTTTTTTTAACTGGCGCTGTTGGAAACTGGAGGCTGTTGGTCTGGCGCTGGAAGACATCTGGGGAAAATGCAATGTATCACCTTCAGGCATTCGATGTGGTGCTGCTAGCAACTTGGGCGGTTGAGCTGGTGATACATATTGAGTCTAGGCAGGTGTTTTGCAACAAATCATTCGACTTAATTTGCCATTCAAATATATTTGTTGGCCATTTTCTAGTCAACTTAACGATAGATTTGGGGGTTCCCATTGATTCTTGTTAAAACAAATGTGTTAACAGCAGGCTCTAGTTTAATGCATGTTTTAAAAAGAGAGGTTGGAGTGTGTTTATCATAGAAATCTGTTCATCAATTTTCATCTTATTTTATTTGTCTGTGTCTGTTTGGAGGTTTTGGTGTAACATTGTATTCTTATGACCTAAAATTCTTGATATTATGACCTACATTTGCTTTCTTGCCATCCACAAGATTTGTGTTGGAGTGTTGTTGATAACTGTGCTACCGGGCCTCCAAATAGCACATTACACAACACGGCCAGATGTGCAGTTTTAGAGCGCATGTGACTCTTAATGAGACAGTCGAGACTTTTTTCTTTCCAGAGTGAGAAATGAGAAAGCATGGTAACAGCAGCTGGACCTGCTTTAATAGGAGTTGTTTGTGTAAAATAGAAATAAAACCAAATCAAATGTCATACTGATTAATGCGACAGGGAGTCAGTGTGCCTATTATAAATAAAAATGTCAGACCTGTTTATACACCTGTATATACGAGTGTAAATACATTTCAAAGAATTAATTGGGGTTTTTGAATACAGAAAAAGAAAGTAAAATGAAAAACAACTTTTTAAATAATTAACACAATTTACAATATGTTATCAGAAGATATTAGGGAGGCCACTGACAGTTATTATCATTATTGATTATATTTTTTATTTATTAAATTGTTGTTGAGCCTAAAGATATTTGTGTAAAATATTCAAATATCTTGTTTCTTCAGACCAACAGCCTGTAATAAGAATGTAGAGCTGCCACTAATGACCGATTATCTAGCCATTCAACCCTTATTATATGGAATGTATAATGTAGCAGGCAACTTCATGGCTTTATGAGTGGACTTAGCTGCTACAAGGAGAAAAGATGGAAAAAAACATGCCTACGTTTACTGCATTTACTACATCAATAATAACTAGTTGCGGCAGCCCTAAAAAATGTCTGTTATTTAATATATAGTGATTTCAAACTTGTGAAACTAGAAGGTCCCTTGGAGAGTGCAAGGCTTTTTCTATAATTAAAAAATAAATCCATGTATTAACCCCGTGATATGGATCCGCTCCAAAATGTGGCGACCCATGCTTCACGCTTGTACCAAGTTTTATAAAACAAATGAAGCAATTTACAAACCAAACATAAACTCCTTGACGGATCCAAACGGCCAGCTAATTAGAAGAATAACTTTTGGATTTAAATTGTAAACACTGAAAAAAAGTATCTTGCCGAACAACATGATAACATAATTGACTTCAGTTCATACAGTGACAGCCTCTCAACAACCGCAAGGCTGTTTCTTATCAGCGGACTTTGTTTGCCTCAGTGTCTGCCTCCTGTTGGTAGATTAATGTCAAGAGCATGTTATAATAAGCAACCATGGAGGAGCCTTGATAGTTGGAATATAAACTACCCTCTAACAAACCCTCTGAACTTAAACACATCACACATGCAGACATGGTCTGTCCCGCAGAAGTCTGACCCTTTTAGATTTCCTCTCACATGAGTAACTTGTCGAGATGTTGGTTGCTTATGTTTTGGGCAGATGGATGTCTGCAGGTAAAACTGAGATTGTGTAGGGTTAGGTACAGTGTGAGGTGGTTTAGATTAGACAAGGACAAATATTTCATCTAAATGTAACTGAAAGGAAAGTATACTATTTTAAATGAGCTGTTAGGCATGTGTGTGTGTGCTGCTTCATTGCTATCTGTTAGTCAGCCATCTAGTGTACAACTCTTTGCTAGTCATGTCTAGCTAATTACAGCACAAATAAACATTTAAACAAGGAGCCGAGCCAGTTTTGAAGCTAGTATTTCATATTGTTGTTGTGTTCAATTCATTAATTATAACCTTATTGTTATTCGTCTGCAGTATCTGGGAAAAACAATGTATATGCGAGATAGAACTTTTTTTTATTTTTAAACGGCTTAAACTATTATCATAACATGTTCTATATATATTCATAGTAATTCAGGTCATATTTTTAAATTGCACAAATGATGCAGTCAGTACTTGATATTAATTATACTTTGAAGTTATTTAGCTATTTCCTCTCCAGGTTTTTTAGTATTTCAGCAGCTGTCTTGTAGCAAAAACTCAAGTTTTGAGTCTATGGAACATCTGGATGCACTAACAACCTCATGTAAGATGCCTATCAGGAGCGTTCAGTTAACAATAGCAATTATGGTTACACATTCCATTGTAGTCATTATTCTTCCCTTTGTGTACTATTGCCAAGGGGATGTTTAGACGTGAACTGTGGGGCAAAGCTATTAAAAGCATCAAGGATTAACATGTTGTTATTTTAAATGTACTGGTCTTTAGTTCTGGGTAGATTTTTAAATGGAAAAAATATGGTCTAGATATGATTCAGTATTAATGTGTGCATTTTCCATACAGAGTTTTCTGCACGGCACAGAGTTTAATCATCGATGTTCTCTCCACAGGGAAGTAAGCGGGGGAGTACGTTGCCTCTCTCTAGTTTCCTTTCCATTACCATGAGTTGGAGTTTCCTGACTCGCCTGCTGGAAGAAATCCACAACCATTCAACATTCGTGGGCAAGATCTGGCTCACAGTCCTGATAGTTTTCCGCATCGTGCTAACGGCCGTGGGTGGGGAGTCCATCTACTACGATGAGCAGAGCAAGTTTGTTTGCAACTCGGGCCAGCCGGGCTGCGAGAACGTCTGCTACGACGCCTTCGCTCCACTCTCACACGTCCGCTTCTGGGTGTTCCAAATCATCCTGGTGGCCACGCCTTCCCTCATGTACCTGGGCTACGCTGTCAACAAAATTGCCCGGGCAGAGGAGCAGTGCGAAAATGGGGGAGTGAGTGGATTGTCGCGGAGGAAGACCAAGAAGCCCTACCTTGCTGGCAGAAAGCAGCACAGGGGCATCGAAGAGGCCGAGGATGACCAAGAGGAAGACCCGATGATCTACGAAATGGCCGAGGTTGAGAGTGACGGTGATGGAGCAGCGAAAGGAGACAGTGGTGATAAAAATGCAAAGGTCAAGGTGCGCCATGATGGCCGCCAGCGTATCAAAGAGGATGGACTGATGCGTATTTATGTCCTTCAGCTCTTGACGCGCTGCGTGCTGGAGGTGTTGTTCCTGTGTGGACAGTATGTCCTGTATGGATTTGCTGTTCCCGCCTCCTACGTGTGCTCTGACGACCCCTGCCCTCACAAAGTGGACTGCTTTGTATCCCGGCCCACTGAGAAAACTATCTTCCTCCTCATCATGTACACAGTCTCCCTGCTCTGCCTGGCACTCAATGTCTGGGAGATGCTTCACCTGGGCGTCGGTACCATCTGTGACATCGTGCGCTCTCACCGGGTGCGCCTACCAGAGGAAGGGCTGTACGGGCTTACGCGTGAACAAGGAGCTCTTAATGAGGCACGATTGAGTGGAGACGATTACAGCAGCTACCCTTTTTCTTGGAACGCACCATCAGCTCCGCCTGGGTACAACATCGCCATCAAGCCTCTCCTGGTATCTACAGGGCACCACGACCAGCCACTTCCCATTACTGATCTCAATAATGCTAAGATGACATGCAGGCAAAACCACGTGAACATTGCCCAAGAGGAGCGCCAGCAGTACACTAATAATGAAGAGAACCTGTGCAGAGGAGGGATGGGAGATGCTTCCAGAGTTCTTAAGGACATCCATCATCCTCAGAACCAGCTGGAGGCCTACAGCCAGCCACAGAGCCACACTAACAACCACAGCAAGCCTCACCGTGAGCGGAAACACAGACAGGCCTCCAAACACACCGCAAGCAAGTCAAACAGGGCCGGAGGCAGCAGCACCAGCAGTAGCAGCAAATATGGAGTCATAAAGGGCTCTGAGTGGATCTGAAATTCACACTACAGATTTGTGTTTTCGTTATTCTTAAAAATGCAAATCCTGATGCAGGAAGACGTTGGTGCTTTCTTTAATTCCCTGTGAATATGCAGAGGCTGCAATGCTGTAACCTAAGGTGCCTTAGTTAAACACAAAATGTCCTCATCACTATGGACTGAAAACAGTCCTACTGTCTTTGTGAGTCTTTTTTGATTACCATCCAGGTTACACTTTAAAAAGTATTGTTTTTTTCTGAGTATGCAATATTATATGCACGGTTTGATTCATTGTTTTTCCGAGCCATGAAGATAAACAAGAGGGTATGTTTTCATTTAATAATTTTACAGTATTTCCATGTATTCTTTGAAGAGCCAAATTAAGTTCAGTAACGTTTTAAAAGTTTTTGAAATGTATCATTCAATGAAAATGTTTGGTAAAGTTTAATGACCTAACTGTTCAAACTGTTGTCATTGTTTTAGTGCCAAGCTGTTTTTTTGTTTGTTTCACCTTTATGCTTTAAAGATTTCTGCATCATTAATGTTTAATTAACATAACAAACCATAACCAGTGTATCTGGCCTGTTGTTCTTTTTTCCCGGCCTGGTATAATGCATTTGCTGTCATTAATAATTACCTTAATTTGCAGATTTTCAAATTGAAATGTCATTAAGGCTAGTCCTTTGCACTGTGCCAGTGTTTTGTGAAAATATATTTTTATGGTAAAAAAGTGCATGGTTTTAATAAAGAATTGTTTTTTTTCATCTTGTCTTTGTTTTGTATTTAACAGAGTTGGTGTTATGAAACTTATGACCATATAATATATATAATGTTTAAGTTTAATTTATCACATTATAGTCCACATTTTCCACTCACAATATATACACCTAATTCATGTAAAACTGTTGGTTTACAGTTCGATCTATAACGATTTGAATTCCCAATGTAGGTTTAGATTTCTATATTTACAGACACATTGCCATCTGCTGGACAGTAAGGGATAACAAATAATTCCCACTCATAAATGACCATCGCTCTGATATTCAAGTTTAAAATTAGGAAAACCCTTTCCCCTTGATTGACTACATTGAATTATTCCCAAAACAAGTTTTAAAATAATAAGAAATAAAACGGTTAGTTATGTAGTTGAGTAGCTATGTGGCAACAATATGCTGACACTACATTCGTTGTGCTGCATTCAGGGTACTCACGTAAAACTCATAATACAATCTTCGAATTTGACAAAGAATTATGTTGATGCTCCAGATGATGACTTATAAGCACTTTCCTGATAAAATAGACTAAATGTAAGTTATGTATAACTTCTTACTTAAATAAATAGCATTAATATTTCAACCGTTGAAAAATAAATAATGTCAGCCACCTTTCTGATGTCTGAAGCTAGTACGTGAAGGCAACCTTTTTCGAATGTGACGTCGACTTTACGTTCACGTCTCTGCCAGTGTTTTTAAAAAGCGGCGGTTGCTCATCGACCACCTTTTGTGAATAAGTAGGATTCATTTCTTTATTGTAGTATTCCAGGACAGTACAAACACGTAAGTGTACTATGTTTTTGTCTATATTGGCCCTGACGACGAAGAAACCACTTTAACAGACTTTTAAACCTCTTAACAAACTAGCAAAATGTTGTTTGGGGCCCAGGCGTTGTTGACGAAAGCTAAGCTAGCTAAGTTCAGCTAATGCTAGGTCAATACTGGGTGCACTGCTCTTTGGTATTGTAGTAACTACAATTGTATTCCAATGTATTGTAGTTGTGTAGTAATTATTTGCTACATTGTTATTTTTTGAAGAACCCTTTGCTGGATTGTTGTGAAGTTCAAAAATATATTTTTTGAGCAAACTAACTAGTCATAAAATATAAGGTTATGTCAATCTGACCATTAAGAAAAACATTTTAGACAGCCTTTCCTGCATGATTTTGATGATTATTGATGAGCCACTTGCACCATAGAGACTTTTATTTTTTTAGTCTAGCAAATTATACTGCACTCAAAATTGTCAAAACAAAGTTATTAAACAATATCAGTACAATAGCTTTTTACATATGAGCTACCTGGCATCTTCTTTTTTAGTTGCTCTCTTTCTAATGTGTATGCAGACTTATGACATGTATTTAACAGTGCTTTGTTTTTTTCTTTTTAAGTAGGATCCTGGTGTTTTTCTGTAAAGTTGTAAGCATCTCTACTGCACCAGGATCATGCAGCAACAGCAGGCTGCAAAGGAGCGAGGCCTTCTCGGCTCACTGTGTCCTGGACAGAAGAAGCTGCAGGGGAAGACCTTTTATTTGGACAGTTTGAAGAAACGCTCCACAGCCCTGCTTTTGGAGGCTGTATCTCTTCTAGGAGGGGTAAGCATGTGTGAAGATTAAGTCAGTGTGGCCTGTGAATCCTATTGATATAAACATTGTTAGTATTGGTTTACATGCAGAATTAATTGTTGTTGTTGTGCGAGAATTCGTCAATCCAATATTTTTTTTTAAGTTACCAAATTGACTTAATACTAAGGCTGTTATCCTGTTAACTACATAGCCTCAAGTTAGGTTTTGCACAAGGAAAGATAAAAGTCTGGAATAGATGTATTTTAGCTGAAACTAATGCTCAGTTCTGTGTTTTTTTTCCTTCTGAAGAAGATCGAGAGTTTTCTGCACAAGGATATAAGCTTTGTTGTGACTGGAAGCCAAGACGGCCCGAAGGAGCAGAAATCTACAGATATCAAAACAGAAGCAAACGGGAAGAGTGACGAAGCCCAGCATCCTATAATGCAGCGAGAGAGCATCCTCAGCAGAGAAAAACGCCGACCAGGAACTCCTAGACCAACGGTACAGAGCATCACCCATGCATGCTTAAAACCTTTCAGATTTTACAAGCAATGGTGCCCTAAAACAATGCCACCACTGGCTTTGTAGAATGATGGTGCTGTTATTTATTAATAGTATTTTCATGTCCTGCAAAAGCCATACCTAATATCACATGACCGAGAATAACCAGTTATCAGGTAATGCAAGGGTGTCAAACTCAATTTCATCACGGGCCACATTCGCATAAAGGTTGCACTCAAAGGGCCGGTTGTAACTATATAAATATATAATGTATATATACAATAAATTAATGTATTATATTACATAATTGCCTCTGAATTGGATTATTATCGGATAGGATAATAACTAATTAACTACGTCTGAAAGCAGAAGTCCAGGGCAAATAATTGCAAGTCTCTTCAGTGCGGACATCACAAAACGAGATGCATTGTGGGACATGTAGTTTATGGGCAACCTGCTTCTGTAAAGTGGCATGTAACCGTATAATAAACATATTATATTCTTTGCAAGCTCTTGCGGGGCCACATAAAATGAAGTCGCGGGCCGGATTTGGCCCCCGGGCCTTGAGTTTGAGACCCCTGAGGTAATGACTTGTAGAATGCCCTGATACAAATACATATGACATTGTGAGACGTGTCAGTTGTTATGTATATTTACTAGGGCCGGGACTTTAACGCGTTAATTAAGATTAATTAATTACACAAAAATTAACGCGTTAAAAAAATTAAAGCATTTTAATCGCACTTATTTTTGCACCGCGGAACGTTTATCACTGGATGAGTTTCAGGCGTACCGATTATACTGGAGCACCAACTAACGTTCATGACTTCAGACAACAACAAACCACAGTGAACAACAGTGGGACATGTTGTTTTAAAAAACGGACGGATGGAAGCGTCGATTAGAGCACGGTTGTGTGCAAATTATGCAAAAAGGAATTCGCATATCACCGCAGCACATCAAGCCTCAAGTATCACCTCAATGCAAAACATATAGCAGCTAGCGTGGAAGCTAGCGTGGACGTTAGCCTCTTTTATCGCGTTCACACCAAAAAGAGCCGGTACTAAAATTAGTTCATGAGAACCTTTTTACCCCCACGAAAGTCCCTGCTAGAGAGCAGAGAGCTGCTAGAGAGCAGAGAGCTGCTAGAGAGCAGAGAGCTGCTAGAGAGCAGGGACTTTCGTACGGCTCTCTTGTGAGAAAAGAGCTATATTTCTGATTGGCTGGGCGGATTGCAAACCACGCCCCGTAAAACTCCCAAAAAGTTTTGTGAAGCCGCCATTTTATTATCCTCGCATTAGCATTATTAGCATTAGCCCAGCGCAGAAACGCAGAGAGACTAACTTATGGCAACACAAAATAAAACATGGGAGCGGTGGAGATGAGGAGGTGTCGGCGTTCTGGCGATTTACTCGGAAGGCTTCAGTAGAAGCTGCTGGGACTTCCAGCAGCTTCTACTGAAGCCAGTCCCCAACTCCAGGGACTTCCGGCCGGGGACTTTGGGCGGCAGTATACGCCGTGAAGTGGTTTGCGGCCTGCCAGTAAACCCAAAGCAGAAGAAGAAGAAGTGACGTCAGCGGCTTCATTTGCCTAATCCACCCCCAGGTTCAAAGAGTTCTCATGAACCTTTGTGGGAAAAGTACTGCGGTGTGAATGCGCCTAATGGTATACTAAAATCCATGTGAAAAAAAATTGCTTCTCACTGTTCTCAGGTCAAATATGTATATGCGATTAAAAATGCGATTAATTTCGATTAATTAATTACAAAGCCTCTAATTAATTAGATTAATTTTTTTAATCGAGTCCCGGCCCTAATATTTACACATTTTGAAAATGTTACATATAACCATTTAGATACATCGTTATAATCATTATTTGTGTATTAATGCTGTATTATTCTCATCAGGCTTGTGGCAGCCGTGGGAAGGCCCTGCTTGAAAAAGCCATTCGCAACAATGTAAGTGTCAGTGCAGCCAACATGTGGTTTATCTTGCAGATCTGGGTGCTTTATTGTTTGTGGATATTGGGGATTTACTGACGACTGACATGGTTTGTTATCTTGACTACTCTCATGGTTCTGTCTTGTAGGAGCGACTACATGCGAGCAGTGTTTTGACGAATGCTCGATCATGGGGAGTGAAGATTGTGTATGTGGATGGTATCCTTTTGACTAATAACATGATTTGATGCAAACTGCTATTAGAAATGTTGTGTTCACATTTGTGGTGCAGTGAACCTCTGCTCTCAGCAGATGGCACCATGTGAATGCTTTTGTTTTGTTCTGTGCTGCTGTGGTTTACTGATGCCAGCTGAAGAGTTCTGCATATATATGTCACATTATTTATCTAACAACAGAATACATATTATTCCTTAATGTTGTATCAGATGTCCTTTTTTATTTGAAACACTTGACACGAGAGAGCTTTGATGTTCCACACAGGAGGCCAGAGGTAAGATGCTGGACTGAATACTTTTCTTAACTTCATTAGCTATCCAAATGCAGCCGTTTTTACATTCATACATTTCTATCAAATAAATAATTTACGAAGGAAAAAGTAACGCCAGCATTTGTTCTCTAATGAATGAGTTTTATTGTGTACTTTTTCTTAAAGCTAAAGGCCAAACATCAAGGTGCTCAAGTTGTCAAAGGTAAGTTTATGAATGAGCTGCTCATGTCTTTGTTTCACAACAATACTGTCTTTCTGTGGGTATTTGTGCTCATTTAATTCATCTGTTTATCTCCACTTTGCCTTGTCTACAGCTGTGCCTTTGAGGTCATCCTTTGTTAAAATTGAAGACTCAAGCAGGTGAGTTTCATCTCAAATGTCTATGTTTACACAAAATTATACTTTTTAATAAATGATTATTGGTAATGTGAATATGACTAAATGGGTAGAGGCAAATAATATAAAAGCTGGAACATTT